TTTCTAGAAGTCAGTAGGAGTCACATTGATCTTGAGAATTACAAGAGTCAACCGATAATGATCCTTTTAGTTATCACTGGAACGTGACATGCGATTGAAAACCTATTTTATTTTAATTGATACATTCTTATTTCTATGCACTTCGACTTAAGTTATCAATGCCTTTGATTTCTATGTTTTTCATTTAAATGCAAAAGCAAAGTATGTTGGTCAGTGAAGGTACACTGATCGATATGGATGAGTAGATAACAGCACGGAAGCACTGGTAGGCATTTGAGTTGTCAAAAAGCAAGAAATTTAGAATAGAAAAGTTCAGTCCATGAAGGAAAACTAAGTCTGGATCTAGTTTGTCCTAAACAGCTAGTGGGAGCATAATTATTTTGCTGGAATTGCATGAGGAAAATATTATTCATAGGAAACAATGTGTCTGTGGAATATTTCGCTATGATAGACCTAGGGGAGATGGTACTCGTACTTCTTTTCGAATCTAAAAGTTTAGATCATGTAGTTTAATAGAACTTAGTCAAAGATATATATATATATATATATATATATATATATATATGAATATCATGTTGAAATGTTTAAACATAAGAGATTCTATATGGAAATATTATGGCAAGAAATTGAGAAGATATTAAATCCTTGTACATATAATAATGAGTCGAGTCCCATATGCTTCAAATATAGGATTTATCACATATGCTATAGTATTCGCTTATTCTAACCTTGATCATTATGAGAAAAGGACTAGATTTTTATGTGACTAAAGTTATTAAACGAGTGTCAAGAATATTCTAAAGTTTTACCAAAGATTGGTTGCTTGTGGATAGTTGGAAGTATGAGATTATTTGGGAAAGACCATAGTGACATGTTTTGGATTGAGATGATTCATTTTCAGAATTGATGTTTATATGGGAATATAGAAATGTTTCCATAACGGGAGATAGTCATAAAGGCTCTATCTCTGTAATATCAAAGGCTCAGTCTCTGTGACTTCAGAACCTCGACATCATAGAGAGTCAATGTGTGTAAAGATGAAATTCAACTACATCTTATCTAATTATATGAATTAGGAATTGTGAAATGAGCATTGTTGGAGTAATGTACAGTTGATATGTTCATAAAGGAAGGACCATGCATAGTATACATGTTTAGAACATGGCATAACTGATGTTTTTGATTCAAGTGGTTAGTTGATTACACGAAACAATCTATAATGAATAAATTCATAATTGTTATGGTGATTAAATAATAGGGATTTATTTATATTAAATGGGTATGATAATATACTAAATTAGTTTATTATTGTGTTTCACTTTGCATGTTTACTTCCTTGAGTTATTTAAATATTATTCAAAATTCCATAGTCGGTCATACTTTTTGGAGCGGGTAATGAATTAAGATTGTCATGGAGTGTTAGTAGATTCTCTATAGTGATTGGACATAGCATTGTGATTGCTGTTATATTCATGTGTACTTGAAATAGGAATTTAAGTATTGGATAAGCCCATGTTTGGAGATTACTTCATGGATTCAATCATAAGTAATTCTAAGATGATAACATCTACTATTCTTCAAACGGAGATACATAAGTTGTGATTTGCAAGTTAGTTATGCATTGGTATTACGTAAATGTATTAGTAACTTAATGTTATAAAACATAGTTTCGGGTGTGATTTTTGAACATAAATAGAGTGGAAATGTTCCAAGCAGAAGGGAGTGGTGGACTCAAACATGTAAATTAGAGTATATTGCAACTAGTGGAGCGACAAATGAAGTTAGATGGTTAAAGAACTTCATCGACGATGTTGGAGTTGTACCAAGCATCAAAGAGCCTTTGAAGAGCTTTTGTGATAACTAAGGTGTGGTCACTTTGACTAAAGAACCCAAGGACCATGGTAATTCGAGACACATACTTAGGAGATACCATTACATTCAACATAGAGTAGAAAATGAAGATCTTGTCAACAATAGAGTATCATCTGGTCAGAATCATATTGATCCTTTCATGAAGCGATTATTAAGAGAGAAACATAATAATCATACAAGGATCATTGACATAAGATTAGATAGTGATCTGATGTAATAATTTATTTGACTAGTTTTAATTGTTTTGAAACAATATAACAATATGAATTGTAACTGTTTTGATGTTTATTTCATGGAGACTTAATAAAGAGCTTACTTTGCTATCAAAGTTATGTTAATTCAATACTATGTTTCACTTTTTCATGTTTTGAACCCACTTCTAGAATATTTAATTATATTCAAACCTCCACAGTCGGTCACACTTTGGGGAGTGAGTGAATGATTTAAAATTGTCATGAGTATCAGTTGATTGGCCATGGAGAATGGATATTGCAATAGAGATTGTGCTAAAACTCATGAGTGCTTGAAAATAAAGATTTTATGTATTATAACAACCTACACTTAAAGATTACTTGTTGAATCTAGTCACAAGTAATTCTAAGATGAAAATATATTTTATGTACTATAACAAGCTACACTTAGAGATTACTTATTGGTATGCTCCAACGTTATCTGTAACTAGTAGGCATAAAGGGTATGTTCATGTATGATTAGACATGTAGAAAAAAAAAACTATTTAGTCAAAGTTTATTTGTTCCATCTCATAACTGGGAAACGATATCTCTAGGCACCTTGATGATTTGTTGCTGATATATGAAGTGCTTGGTTGAACCCTGACTAAATTGATGTATTCGATTTGGAAGTCAGATGTGATTGTCAGAAATCGTTAATCGAGAAACAAGATGTTGAACAATGACATTGACCCTTATCTATGGTTCTTGTTCATAGAGATATCTAGAACAAATAGATAATTGATCACATGTCTAAGGACTAAATTTTGATTATGATCAGAGTTTGGCAGTTCCATTGGATGAATACTCTTTGTTGATTGGTAGTGAAATATTAAGATAGTGAAAAGTTAACGACTTGTCTAAGTAAGAAACTGTCGGAAATAGTGTCCAAGGTCATTAGTTGTTTTGGTGATATTTCTAATAATAGGAGTTTTCTTTTGGTTGACCTCATAACCCAAATAGCATCAAGGAAATAGAGAAAAATAAATTGATAATTAATTAATTGTAAATTAATTTGGAATTAATTAAAGAGCTTGAATATTAATTAATTCCTAAAGATTAATTAGAATATTTCAAAAACTCTTGGAGACAACTTATGGACGGTTTTTGATAGGGATACGACATGTTTAAATCAGAAAAGGATCAACTTAAAGAGTTTGAATCTATTAAGGATTTAACTACAACCTATAAATAGTTTTTTTCTCGGTTTTCATCCAAACTCTCTCTCTCTCTCTCTCTCTCTCTCTCTCTCTCTCTCTCTCTCTCTCTCCTAGTATATGAAATTCATAACCCCTTTCATAGGTTAGTGAATTTTAAATAAACCCTAAACTAGGGTTCTTCCTTCATGTTTTTGATGTTTCTGGGTCTGATAACATTAGAGATATTCAACTTTGGATCCTTCATCCAATGCAATCACTCAATCACAGAGGATCACAATCAAAGAACCAAGAGGTTAGTATTCTTATTTTTGTAAAAAAAAATATTTAAGTTCTTTGTTATAACTAGTAAAACCTTAGAATCCATGTAAACATAAGTTTATGTTTTGTTTTAGATGCATTGATCATGTGCATTGATGCTAATAAAACCCAACATTTTGAATGTTGTTTGATCCTTGTTGATCCCTCCCACTGTGCACATATGGTACAGCATTTTTCCTTGTGTTGGTATAATTTTTTTAAAAGTTTCTCATATTTCATTCTTACTTATAAAGATTGTCACTGATGTGTTAAATCTACATTTATTTTTTTTATTTTTTTGGAAGCCTTTGTGTGATCGATTGTAATATAACGGAAGAGCGGCTAGGTTGGTTTAAGAATGGAAAGAGAAGAAGGGGTTGCTTTAGATGGACATTCTTTTATGAAATCATAGACACATATACAAGTAGATGAAAAGGAGAATAATCTTCCAAAAAAAATGACTGTAATTTTTTAATAATAAAGCATTTTTTTTTTTTTTTTGTTTTTTTAAATGGCTATAATTTAGTAGGATCGTCATGTTTTGTCGTGATTCTTTCAAGATTTAAAAGTTAAAAAAAAAAAAAAAAAAAAAAAAAAAAAAAAAATGACAGTATTCTTTAAAGAATAAAGTATAGTTTTTTTTTTATTTTTTTTTTAATGGTTACAATTTATTAGATTTTTCATTGTCTTGCTATTCTTTCATGAATTTTTAATTCTTTTTTAAAACCAAACTCCTCCAGGATTAAGTTTTTATTATTTTTTACTTTTTATTTTATAAATTTAAATAAATTCCATAAAACCTAGTTTTAATCTTCTAATAAAATATCTACCTACCATTTTATAATTGTATTCTAAAAATCCGTTTAATAATATTCAAGATAATATCAATTTATATCACATTGATTTCTTAATCCTATATAAGTGAGTTATGCCTTAAAATATCATTTTAAATTTATTGTTTCAATTTTAAAAATTACTTCAAAATACTACTAGTAAAACTGATTATAATAACCAAAAGAAACAATATGTTTTTATCTATATTTGTGAAAGTAATTAGTGTTATGAATAGTTACCACATCAAAAACAGAATTCAGCATTTATTTTCTATTACTGGCAACCGATTTTTGCTATAAATAAATATATACATTGACCTCGTAATAGAAACTCTGCCCAAGAAACTTAAGATGCAGAGACTCTCCCCTTCCTATTTATTACTCATCCTTCTTTTCAATATTCTGGCTTCCATTTCCATTTCCATCTTCCACTCACCACTCAAACTCTAAATTCAACACACACACACACATACACATTCACCAATTATCCTTTCTATAATCTGTAATTTGTTTACTTTTCATCTTATTTCAATCGAATCCGGTTTACACTTGGTATTATTCATCAGATTCAATCAATTTTCGGAAAAAGGAATCGTGTAGAGTGTGAAATGGTGTTTGGTTGGCGAAGAGCTTTCTGTACATCGGTTCCACGGGAAGTGGATTCCTCCTCCGCCGTTAGAGCAACCGGAGATGATCCGGATCATGAGAGGAATGGTGGCGGTGGAGGTGGCGGTGGCGGTGGCGGTGGAGGTGGTGGTACTCCTAAATTTGGTGGAAGATTTGGATTTTTTAGCTCTTCTTCCTCTAATCTGTCTACGCCTCGGATTCAATCGCAGACGGATTTAACTCCAAGACTTCGTTGTCGAACAAGTAGCGGAAACCTGCCGGAGAAATCAGCGTCTGTTCCTGTAAGTCCAAAGCTTCACTGTAAAACAACTGGAAGTAATGGAGTGTTTCAATGGTCATCGACTCCGTCGTCGCCTCGCTCTCCTTCAACTTTCTCTCTCCTCAAATCAAACTTACGCCTCACCACAGTAAGATTTGATTCTTTGATTCTATTCGTTTTGAATTTCCGTTTCATGATTATCGTATAGTATAGAAGAAATCTAAATTGGTTATACATTTTGAATTAGCAGAATAGATGTGGATTATGCTTGCAGAGCGTGAAGCGAGGGCGCGGCGTAGCGATTTACACGGCGGAGTGTTCTCATGGTTTTCACTTTCCGTGCATCGCCGGTCATGTGAAGCAAAAAGGGAGCTTAGCTTGCCCTATTTGTGGCACCATGTGGAAAGAGATGCCTGTGTTGTCTGTAAACGATGAGAATCAGAAGCATCATTTTGGTGAAGAAGAAGAAACGCTTAGGGAAAAGCTAGCCACGACACTAATGATCGATGTTGTTGAGAAGAAGAACAGCAAATTGAGGAAACAGCATTCGTTTAAACCAGATTTGAAAATTTATGATGATGATGAGCCATTACCTTCGCTGACGCCTAAAGCTCGGTTCAATCCGATTCCGGAGACTGATGAAAACTGCGACGAAGACTCCATTGAAGAGTTTCAAGGATTTCATAGTAACAGTAGTAACAGTCCCGTCGGTGTTCATGCAAAAGATGTGGACGTACGATTGCTGCCGGAGACAGCTGTCATCTCAGCTGGTCGGAATCACGAAACGTACGCGATTGTTCTAAAAGTAAAAGCTCCGTCGATGCCGCCGGCGAAATCACAAGGCAGAGCTCCGATTGATGTAGTAACCGTCGTTGATGTGAGTAGAAAAATGTCAACCGAGAAGATACAAATGATGAAACGAACAATGAGATTAATCATTTCATCACTTTCATCCTCCGATCGTCTATCAATTGTCGCCTTCTCTTCATATTCAAAAAGATTACTCCCTTTGAAGAGGATGACAGCCACCGGCCAACGAACGGCGCGTCGTATAGTCGACGCCATGGCAGTTCTCGAAGGCTCATCAAACGGAACCGACGCCGTAAGAAAGGCCGCAAAAGTGCTAGAAGACCGTCGGGGAAAAAAACGCCGCCGGCAGCATCATCCTCATCTCCGACATCCCCGACCAATCATCACACGTGTCTTCCACGCGCTACTCCCACTCTCAAAACTCACCTTGACGTCGCCCTACACACAGTCAAACTCGCCATTAACGACGATCATTCCTTCGCGAAATCGATCGGAAACTTACTCAACGTGGTGGTTCAAGATCTTCAATTGGACTTCCGGTTTATCTCCGGCTCTTCTCCGGCGGAAATCACAGCGGTGTACTCGTATACACCCAAACCCGTCGCTCTCGGGTCGGGTAGGATCCGAATAGGAGAATTGTTTGCAAATGAAGAAAGAGAATTGTTGATTGAAATGAAAGTCCCTACGTCGGCGATGAGGGTCCACCAAGTACTATCAGTGAGCTGCACCTACAGGGAATCCTTAACCCATGAAATTATTTACTCTAAAGAGAATACACTCGTTGTACCTTTACCTAATCCAACAACCCTCAGATCATCAGCGATCACCATCCAACGGCTGAGAAGCCTCTTCGTCACAACTCGAGCTGTAGCCGAATCACGCCGGCTCACGGCTCGTAACGACATCATCGGCGCATACCACATCCTCATCTCGGCTCGCGCGTTAATCCAACAAACGACTTCGGCTTCGTCTCCCAATAACGAGTTTCTAACCAGCTTGGAAGCCGAGCTGAACGATTTACAACGGCGGCGCGTGGTTCAAGCCGAGAGAGCGACGATAGATACTGCGGTGGAGCCGTTAACGCCGACGTCGGCTTGGAGAGTGGCTGAGAAGCTCGCGAAAGTCGCGATTATGAGAAAGTCGTTAAACAGAGTCAGCGACTTACACGGGTTTGAAGACGCCAGATTCTAATAAAAAATTTACAGTTTAAGTCCTTGTTGTTTTTATTATTACACTTTACACCCTTGAAGAGTATAAAACGTTAAAAATGTGGTGGGACCTATGGAGTATAATAGAGACAAAAGGGTACCCGATGTTTTGACCCTTTTATTCAGTAGAGATAATTGAGATTGATTGAAAAGGGAGGGGGCTCTATGTCTTTTTGTCTTTTTGTTTATATTAAATTTTAGAATCCGAAAAAAGGTTTTAAAAAAACTGTGACTATGATTGAGGAGTAGAAGGGGAGGGGGTATCTTTTGTTGTTTTTTTTTGTGATATATAATATTTAAAGTTTGTTGTGTTTTGGGTATAAAATTGTCTTTCGATTGTCATTTTTTGGGTATATGATGATTACATCGAATATATATACATGAATCTAACTGCAAAATGGACACTCGGCTTCTTCTTTTTTCCTAAATTCCAAAATTGAAGTCCAAAAGATTTTTGCATTTATCATAACACAACATAATATATGAGAAACTATTGTTGGATTATTTTTGAGATAAATGATGCATGCATGTATTAGGCATATCATATCGGATGACTGGTAGCAAACTGCATTAATTATATATCATTTGATTAGATTGAATATATATATATATATATATATTATATATATATATATATATATATATATATATATATATATATATATATATATATATATATATATATATATATATAGGGTTAGGTTATATTGTTTCCAATAAGTATTGTGTGTCAGAATGCACAGATCTGAACCATCGGATGAATAGAATCAACAATCATGATCTGAGGGTCTATGATATTACAATAGGGTAGCATGTATCATATAATCACAAGATTTTTATCAAAAGAGTATTTTGGACAATTAACTACATTTATAAAAGGAAATTTTCGGATTTTTTAGGAATAATTAATTCTCATAATTTAAAAAAATCTAAATTTTTTAATTAATTCAATTTCAATTTTTACCGAGTTTATTCTATCAGAATATTTTTTGTTAGAATGATACTCTTTCAGAATTTTATTCTAACAGAATATTACTGAAGAAAAACAAATTTCATGAATAAGATGTTCAAATAACAAACATTCTAATATATTCTTATACATCCGAACTTAAATACAAATTCATAAATATTCTTACAGACTAAAAATCTTATATATTTTAATATAGTTATAAAAATTCTAAAAGAATATAAGCAAAAATGAATAACATTTTTTTAAAAAAAATAACAACATTCCGCTAGAATACTATCGTGTGCCATATTTTCTTCTTGAATTCTTGAATTCTGAAAGAATATTGCTGTTTTTGGATGTTGAATCTTGAAATTCTGAAAAAATATTGTTGTTTTTCTTCTTGAATTCTTAAATTCTGAAAGAATATTGCTGTTTATAGATGTTGAATCCTGAAATTCTGAAAGAATATTGTTGTTTTTCTTCATTCTTTGAGAACGAAGTATCACATATCTTTTTTTCATAAGTTACATCATCATTCCTGCATCATCGTAACATACATTAAATTACAACAGAATATCTGAATCATGAATATTTGAAAGAAACACATGTTCCTGCTTACATCACCACAAAAAATACACACCAACTTTTAGTTTTTGTTTTCTTCTTATTATCTACAAAACTCATAAGCTTTTAGTTTTTTTTATATAACTTTACTTAATTCAAATGGTTTATAAAAACAAAACAACTAAAGCCAGTATAGTTCAAAGATTACAAAAAAAAATTAGTTGAAATATCTGATACAAGCATTTTAACAAAACATTTGGCGGGCAAAATCAGATGAAAAGAATGACTTGAGATTAAGGAATTGTCAAATAACACCAACCCTATGTTTTTATAAATCTTAATTTCCTAATTATTAACTACCAGTTAGGATAGTTCATAAATTGCCACAATAGATTAAATATCAATTTGAAGAATAAAATTAAACTCTATAAACAAAGAGGTAAAACAACAATTAACAAATTTCATGTACGACAACAATAAGTAAATTCCAACTATTAACAATATTTAAGATTTTCATTATCTTTGACATTCTATGGTATTTATATGTTATCTAATTTTAATATGAATGAAAATAAATAATTAAATAAATAAAAAACTAGAAGAACTCAATGGAGTATTATAATTTTAGAAAACTAGCAATGAGCATGTATCATATGTATGAAAACCTACGAGCCTACAAAGAATCAAATAATTTTAAAATAGTAGAAAAACTCAAAGGAAATATTACAGTTTGATTACATTGGCTGAGTCTTCTTTGGTGGCTGTGAACATGGAATTGTAATAGGTTCATCAATGGTGTTGTATTTATGTATGTGGTATAGCAGTTATCAGTGAAACAAGATATTGTAGCCATGTAATTAAAAATCGATCGAAAGCCTTTTGCCGCCAACGTTCATCGTGATTGCATCAACAAATCAAATAATTTTGTAGAAGAGGGGGATGTGAATCTTTAGAATCTTGATGATTGATTGTAGAAGAAGAAGCAGAGGGATTTTATTTTAATTATCATTCTAAAGTTACATAATTAGCTTTATTCAATTTTTTAATTATTTAATTATTCCTCAATTCCTATTGGTGCATTCAGTCACACAATAGTTGTCAAAAACATTTGAACCTAGCTCTCTCTATATATATATATATATATATATATATATATATATATATAATATATATATATATATATATATAATCTTTTCTTTCGAAATGAAGTAAAAAAAACTAAATATGATTTTCGATTTAAAGTTTGTGTTTTGAAAGTATGATTAGTTATTTTGACTATTTTAAAAATTACTTATTTGATTTTTTTTTTTATTCCGGCCGTATTGATTATGTATATAACATAACCATTGTTTGTAAAATAAAACCATATAATTTATATTTTTATGTTAGTTTTTAACTATTATTAATTGTTACTTAACTAAAAAAACATTTATGTGAAAAAAACTGTTAATAGAAATATTTTTTGAATATCTTATTTTTGAAGTTTTATATATTGATTGAAGTTTTATATGTAAAATATTTAAACGTTTTATATTTTTTTTTTTTAGGATTTAATATGATATTTATGTTAACAAATTAAATATTGTTTGTGATTTTAGGATCACCATGGCATTTTAAGTAACTGGAACTAACATGCGAACTAAGAGTTTCATAATTTGTATTCTAATATATGTATGGGGGCAACGCCCTTGGGTCCGGGATTTCCAAAGGGGCCAACGCCCCTTTTGTGGGGTCTAAGGGCAGCGCCCCTAGCGGGGTCCAAGGGGCAGAGCTTCTGGCTGGAAACATACTTTCACATAATCCTGGTTGGTCCAAGGGGCAGCGCCCCAAAACCTCACCGAATTTTACATATGGGAACATAATGGAAAATTCAATTTATTTAGGGTAATTATGGTAAAACAAACGAAACTCGTTAGTTTTGGTAATCCTAAATTCTCATTAAATCCGGATTAACGTTACTTGCTTCCAAAGCAACTAATGAAGGTCCAACCCTAATAAAACCGTAATCTTGTTTAGTATATAAACAGTTCTTCCTCTTCAGAAGAGGGTTACGATTTTAAGCTCTCGTTTTTCATCATACTTTCATAGAATCCTCTAGCATATTGGCTTACGATTTCTGTGTCTAGAATCTTAAGTGTCCACTTGGATTATCCTAGACTTAATTTCTGTAACTCAGGCATATAGTAAAAATATCAGTTCGAAAAATGATATCACGATCCAAGTTGGTATCCACATCTCCACCACAAACCGTAAAATTCCCTACAAATATATTATTTTGATCATTTAAAATATGTGTCTTTGATATGATAATATATTATATTTATGTTGAAAGTTGAATCAAATAATGTAACTAAAATATATATTTTATAGTATATATGTATATATAGATATCTAGATTGAAGAATAAGCAATTAGCTAATTGTATGCTAACAACCGTAGTAATACAGAGGACATATGACTATTAAAATTAAGAATTGAAAGAACAACTTTTTTTTTATTATGTGTGTTACAAGTTTATGTACAAGATGATATGTTGCAGAAGAAAGCTGTTCTATATAAAGAAATAAACGAATAACACGTTTTTCTTAAAATTCTCTTTAGTCTAATCAGTCTACATTTAAGAACCAAACATATAAACGCATAATAAATGCTAATATTGGATGTTTAAGGGAAAAAATAGTACGAAATGAATCGAATAAATTAGTTAGTTAAAACTTAAAAGCAAATTCGGCATGCAATAAAAATAAAAAGCACACTTGTTCGTGTACGTATTTGATATGATGCTTTCGCAACCATGGCAACAAATGTTTTCAATACGACTGTAACTCTTCAACGAATCTTTGACTTATATTTAACAGATAAAATATAAACCCAAATTAGAAAATTGCGTCACGTTATCATGATCTTCTTTGATTCGAGGAAACTATTTGTTTTATAATATGTAATTACACATTTATTTCGATTGCCTCTAGAAATGTCAAATAATAATTTATCTTATCAGTATTTCACAATCTGGCATATTCTAGTTGCTTTATGAATGGATTATACGAAAATTATAAGTAATTAACTACTAATATTTCATTTTATATGTAGATTTGGAACGTGTTCGGTAAGGCTAGTTCTTTTGGTAGACGGTAGCTAGAAGTTGGAAATTTGAGCTGTAGTTTTAGCTTTTATTTGTATATGAGTGTTCGACAAAATAGCAAGAAGCATGACTATTAGAATCTTGATCTTGATTTTAAGATCTTAAGATTTTAAAATCTTACAAGCAAAAACGATCTTAATCACACTAACATCTATCCGAAGTAAGATCTATATTAAGATCTTGGATCCCGACTAGGATCTTAAGATCTTAATAAATTTTGATCACACCTTCTCAATCTTTAATGAGAAATTAAATATTTTCCTATCTTTTATTCCTACCAATCCTGCTACTCATTTAAATTATGACATGTGTTATACTAGTATCT